AATAAGCGGGGCTTATCGCATTTTATTCGAACAAGATAAATGCGATGTGTTTTAAATCTGCTTGGTATACAAATTGTTCTATTGTTATTGCTTGGTAATCGGTAACAAACGGCTGATACTTTTATATGTTTTTACATTTAATCAAATCTTTTTTGATTGCTTTGTACACACACGGAGCTTTGTTAGTTTATTTATTTTTTATGTATCGAGTTTTGAAAACCTTTATTAATATGATACCAGAATGTAAACGAAACGTTTTTAATACGATTCTATTCGCATATAATTTATTAAACTTTCGAACTTCGAAATAAGATTGTTTTTGTTAAAAGTTGAAGAACATAGATCGAAATACTTAGAGAATAGAGCATAATATTGTCTGCACAGCTTATTAAAATCCACATCTGAACATAGGCCTCACCCATAGTTTGCCTTATAGGGTTGGTGACCGCAGCTTTTTTTTGTTTTTAGTCGTATTAGAAAGTCGCCACTGCCCATTTCCTGATTTGTTTTCTTCAGTCGCCTCTTACGACACCCATGGGATGATATGAGGTAGTGCACATTCTTAGAAAGCATCTATTATACATGGTATGGTATACGAGTATTGTATGTTATTAAACAGATATTTTACTATTTTAAGCATGTATATGGATAAGTCTTAAGATTAACATGGACAAAACAAAATTAATGTGTAATGTTCATGTCACACTTATGCCGGTAGTTGCTGGGAGCACTAAGCTAGAAGTTGTTGATGAGTATGTTTACCTGGGACAAATATTCCGACTAGGTAAGTCCAACTTCGAATGAGAGGTCAATCGACGGATTCAACTCGGCTGGGCAGCGTTCGGAAAATTACGACACATCTTCTCGTTAGGCATACCTCAAAACCTCAAAACTAAATTGTACAACCAGTGCGTGTTGCCAGTGATGACTTATGGATCTGAGACGTGGTCCTTCACTGCTGGCCGTATGAGGAAGCAGAAAGTCGATCAGCGAGCTATGGAGAGGGCTATGCTCGGGGTTTCTCAGCGTTAAAAATTAGGCATGAGGATATCTGCAGTAGAACCAGTGTGACCGACATAGCCCAACGGATTAGTAAGCTGAAGTGGCAATGGGCCCTCCATATAGCTCGAAGAAACGACAACCAATGGAAATGAAAGGTTCTTGAGTGGCAGCCTGTTACCAGCAGGAGAAGTGTAGGGCGCCTCCCTAATAGATGGAGTGATGACCCGGTAAGACATGCAGGAAGTCGAGTCTTCAGCCACCTGCATCCAGGTGACTAAAAACCATGCTATGTGGCGTTTCTTGGGGGAGGGCTATAGTCAGCAGTGGACTTGTAAAGGGCTGTAAAGATCATGTAATAATGATATTCATTATGAAGAGAAGTGGCAACTTAAGAGAATCTCCTACCACATACTTTCCCCTGGGTATCGTAACAGGTCCGAGAGGGAAATTAAGATAGGAGATGAGCAGCAGAATCTTCATTAGTTAATGTTGTTTGTAGCAGCTATAACAGCTTAAAATAATAGTTAATTGCAGTTGCAAATCCATATACGAAGCGTGGCAACTACGCCACTAATCTATGGACGAGGGCTACGCTACGACTAACGTGGGCTTTTGATAGGCTAGGCTAGGAAATAAAAAGAAAATCTATTCCCCATCAGAATATTACCGAAACAAATCAATCTATAAATCCTTCAGAACTTTAATATAAATACCGTTACCATTACAGTCTAAAGTCCGCTGTTGAACATAGGCCTATCCCATATCCATTTGGGGAGATATTTACTTTAGTTGTCATGGCAAGCAGTTAGAAATCGCAGTTTTTATTTTAGTTGTTGTTAGGAAGAAGCAGCTGCCCATCTTTTTTTATAGAATAAGGGTGACAAACGAGCACATAGTCCACCTGATGGTGTAAGTGGTTGCTGCGGCCCATAGACATCTACATCAATCCTCGATTACAAATCAAAATGCAGATGCGTTATCACCCGTGAAGACTAAGATGGAATGCCTCGTTTCCAGTAAAAAGAATCTCCGGTTCTCTACACTCATCATAAAAACACAGCGGTATTAAATTGCTATTTTACGCTGGTATTCTGTGAGACCGTGGTCCTTCTCCAGTCGAGCAAACCCATTCGAGGTATAATCATAATATAGCTGCAGCGTGGCTCTACCACATATAAAATAAGGGTAACGAGCACACAGTCCACCAGATGGTAAGTAAATGCTGTGGCCCATAGACATCAAAATTTATCTTCGATTAACAACTAAAATGCAGATGCGCAGTCGCCCACCACCACCAGGATGGAATGCCTCGTTTCCAGTAAAAAAGGGTCTCCGGAGCTCTACACTCACCATACAAAACACAGCTTTATTAAGCTGCTATTTTACGCTGGTATTCTGTGAGAGCGTGGTTTTTCGGTGGACCCATTCGTGCTACTATCATAATATAGCTGCAGCGTGGCCCCACCATGTATAGAAGCATATTTTTTTCCTGATTTTTCTCCATTTCACTTCTTACGACAATCACGGTACGATATGGGGTAATAGATATTAGTACAGTGCCATTACACTGTAATCATTAATATAAGAAAATCACAAATATACGAATAGCAATCAGTGATGAGAACCCAATTGCTATTTTCATGCTCTTTAAATGTTCATTCAATAGCGCACGGCCATTTGTAACAGAACAGATATAAATTGGCGGTTGCAACAAATATGAATTGTTCGGTCGATTTTCTATCAGCTTGGAGCGTCCACAGCTAGTACTTTTCGCCCTATCAATTGCGTACATGTGATTTCACTCAATTTTCGAATCTGACGTACCCTTACCCTCAAGGGGAGTGAAAGCATTACTCAAATCATAGATTATATTTAAGGGTTTTGTAAGATTGAAATCTATCTAATTCAATAGTATCTTTACGAGGACATTTAAAAGGTTTTTCCTGATAAAAAGACATTTATTTCTAAAAAATACTGTTATCCTATTAGAGTGTGAAATTAAATAGTTTATAATTTTGTAAATTGAAGTTAGCTAACAAACATCTGCTAGATTAAATTTGGAATAAATTAATGAATATTAAGCAAAAGACAAAGTATAAAAATTGTAAACATTTACAAAAATATCAATTAATAATAAGAAATATTACGTTATTGTGTTATTAAATCTTCAATTTTCTCTGTATAACAGTTGTTACAAAACACTGGCTGATATTAACCGTATATTTTGTTTTTATAGAATATGGTGACAAGCGAGCACTCAGTCCACCTGATGGTCAGTGGATACTGTGGCACAAAGACATCTACACTTATCTTCGTTTAAGAATCATAACTCAGATGCGTTGTCACTCCTGAGGACTAATATTGAATGCCTCGTTTCCAGTAAAAAAGGCTCTCGGGATCTCTACACTCACCATACGAAACACAGCAGTATTAAGTTGCTACTTTACGCTGGTATTATGTGAGAGCGTGGTCCTTCCCCGGTCGAGCCAACCCATTCGTGCAAGCACCATAATATAGCAGCAGCGTAGCTGTACCACGTATTAAATATATACATTATACACACAAAATCACAAACGCAAAATATATTAATTTTTTATCTTACTCGTAATGCCAACTAATTTTTCATATAATTTTAGTTATTTAAAATCTTAATTATTTAATTTATTTTTATTTACTTACGAGTGCTGCTGCATTCGTAAGTAAATAAAAATAGTAAGCAATAAGACCACGATAGTTAAATTTACTCTATTTATTATGAATACGGTTTAATTTATTTTTATTGCCCATTCACGGAACATCACGATGTTCCGTGAATGGGCGGCCGTACCGAATAACAAACAGGTTTCTACATAAGGCTGAATTCAATTTTATGTTCAAAGACTGAATTCCTGCATAATGAAATAAAAAATGTTAAATGTTATAAAAAATATAACATGTTTTATCTAAAGTACAAAAAATAACGTGTGAAGGGTCAAAACGACCCGATACATCATAAACTTATATGAAAGTCAAGTGCAGGGATGGCGAGAGGTGAACAGGGCAAGGCAAATTTATGTCGGTCTGCTTTCGATACCTATTGTTGAAGTCGTTTTATGACTTTAAAAAAAATATTTTCATAAAAAATAGCTCGACCAAGGTCGCGTTAAGTGCTTTCAATCGCATTGGCCAGAGCGAGGCAATATATCTACAGAGAATTAAAATATTGAAATTTTAAATTTAAAATGTTTTACTGTGGCGGAATACGTACACTATAATATTGTCACCGAGGACGGGATTTAGCGTAGTCGTTCAGTTAGAAATTTCTTTTGAAATGAGGAAAAATGCTTGCTGCTTTTGTCTTACGACGTCATTTGAAATCAGTAGCCGTGAAATTTGTCGCGGTTTCTGAAGTGAAGATGAAGCGTTACCTATGTAATGCATACGTAGGAGAAATTGGTGAGTGCAAAACATAAAAAAAGAGAATTATATGTTAAAAAGAAAAATTAGTGTTCACAAAAATATACTTTGTAATCTGTTGCTTCATTGGCGGATAGCCAATTGCAATATTAGCAGCGTAATAGAAACCGAAGAACAACATAATAGAAGTGTTTATTACAGATAAAGTTTTTAAAAGTGTGATATACCTACAAGAATTTCAGGGTTGTAGATTGCATCAGTATCTTAACGTTTTCTAAAACATTCTATTCTACTAATTTTTATTATTATAATTGATTTTAAAAATAGAATTTTACCATTATTTGAAATTATTCATTTCTTTATTAAAAGAAACTACAATCACTATGGGGTCAGATTGAAATTTAAATGGGATCGTTGTGAAAGTATTCACTATGGAAAATTAGCCTTGCAGATTTCGTGTAAAAGCGTAATACCATGAAGAAAATAGAGTTAAAATTAGTAAAAAATACAGTCCTAATTAAAAAAGATTCCAGCGTAGATTAAAGTTGGTGGGGTTATTTTTAAATTAGGAATAAAATAATTAAATGTGAAATTTTACTTACGTATAACACCCAGTCTTTTGGGCTATGAGCATTGGTACCGCAAACGTAGAGTCGCGACCCGTCTCCCATGGGCTGGATCACTCGAACATGGTTGCGGCAGTCGAAGTGCTGTAAAAGAATTCATAATTAATAAATTGGATAAAATCTTATTCCATATTATGAGTAAAGTATCAGATGATCCTACTAGCGGTCCTTGATTCCAATATCATCTAAAGAAAACGTTTTTGTAAATATACATATGTATATGTTTTATGGTTTCTTGTAACTTTATTTAACATAGTTTAGGGTTTCCAATTATGTAAAAAGGATAAAGGAAAACGATCACTACAACAGACATGACTATGTTTTACTTTTAAGCACTATTGTACTGAAAAATTATAATATAGTAATTGAAAAAATTATGTTGACTCGATGCCGGACTTAATTAAATGGTTCGATTTTATCGTATCGTATCGTTATCGTACCGCTAGCTCGTCTTCGGCGGTCCGTCACGCAACTGTTAACGAAGCTATATATAACTCGCATACATTGACTTATACATACATTACTCGCTCGCATATCAGGCTTTTGTTTCAATAAAATTCCATCTAGGGGAGTTGCATTTGAAAGTTTATACTTTACATTTCGATTACAATTGGGAAGCGGCAGTACACGGACAACACATTGATGTCATATCCATGTAGACAACTTTCGCGCGCGCGTGCGTGCGTGCGTGCGTGCGTGCGTGCGTGCGTGCGTGCGTGATTGCGTGCGTGCGTGCGTGCGTGCGCTGTGTGTGTGTGTGTGTGTGTGTGTGTGTATGTGTGCGTTTGTGTGAATGGGTCGGCTCGACCGGGGAAGGACAATGCCTTCATATAATACCAGTGTGAAATACCAGCATTATTCTATTTAATTCATGTGGTGAGTGTCCAGAACCGGAGATAATTTTAAATGCGAACGAGGAATTCCATATTAGCCTCAGGGGTTCTTGATCGAGGATTCTTAATCAAGAATAGTGTGAATGTCAATGGGCCACAGCATCAGTTGGACTGTGTTCTCGTTTGTCCTATCCTTATTCTTAAAAAAAAATAATGTAGTTATTACCATAAAATAAAGCCAGAAGAAAGAAAATAGGTAAAAACAAGCATATGTATACGCACACACACGCACACCCCTACCCAGACACTCCTACATACATAGAAATATACATGCATACACAATAAATACAAACATGTATACATACATACGAAAAACAAATTAAAACGTTCTTTTAATACTCACTTAATAAGTATTGTGAAATAAATGAACAGGCAATGAAGAAAATGAATGCACAATCGTTCGCTCGCGGAAATTTTATTGGCATAATAGTAATTTGCTGAAGAGAAAGCGTATACATACTTGTATTATATGTATGTCCACAGCCTGTGATTATGCAAATTTGCGTCCAACGTAAATATTGAACGGGACATTAATATTCCAAACGACAGGAATATGCGTTGCTCGTTTTAGTAAATAAAATGTCGCTCAAAATGAACGGCTTTCACTTTATTTCAGTTCATTAGTGTTGGATCTTTCACAATACGTCGGGATTGGTTTTCATGGAAAACTTTAGGTGGGTGTGCTTTAACTGAGTTGGTGTGAGGTAATTACGTAATTTAAATTTCGATATTTGTTGAAAAATGCCTTTAATTTTTTCGTTTGAGTTGTCTCAGATATTCTTGAAAAATAATTTTAAATTAAACATTGATATTAAATCTAATTCTATAATTAAACTTTTAATAAGAAATAAAAACCAATATCAAAAATTAAAAGGTATATAATAAAACTTAAAACAGTAAAATCCGTCTACATAAACTAAACATATTAATAAAATCTCTATATAATAGTATATTTTATACGAGCCATGCTGCAGTTATATTAGTAGTATAGTTGTAGCACGAATGGGTCGGCTCGACCGGGGAGGGACCGCCCTCTCACAGAATACCAGCGTGAAATAGAAACTTAATGCTGCTGTGTTTCTTATGGTGAGTGTAGAGAACCGAAGACCCCTTTTGCTGGAAACGAGACATTCCATCTTAGTCCTTACGGGTGACAACGCATCTGTCTTTTGATTCGTAATCGAGGATAGATGTACATGTCCATGGGCTACAGCAACCACTTACCATCAGGTGAACTGTATGCACGTTTGTCACCCTATCCTAAAGCTTCTGAAGTCGGAGCTAAGGGAACGTGTATCAAAGAATTAAAGACCCAATTTCACAAGCTATTAGGTAGAAATTATTTCACTCCTTATAATTTTGAAAGTTAGGTTTTGCTTATTAAGAATTCTTAGTTTTTTAACATTCTGAGTAGACTAAGTAATATCACAAGATCAAATAATTATATAACTACATAAATTTCGTATTAGTAGGTATATTAAAAACTTTATCTCCTTTCTTTCCAACTTTTGGAGAGATTTTTTTAAATATAGGACTTCCTTATGTGTAACCTATTTAATACCAGAAGAATCATCGTGTTATATATTTTTTGAATCATTGCTGTCTTTTCAAGAGTACGCTACCTGAAAAATATTAATCATAAACGATTTTGGATAACAACTATGCGGAATCCGAGTTATTATTTTTATTTTTATTTTAGTTAATCGTATGGCCGATACCCTCACACTAGCAATATTTATATCCATTAACAGTTTCTTCTCTTCTCTTCCGGCTATCAGCAGGATGTAAGGATGTACCGCATAAAGAAAGGAAATCTTCTCTTCTTCTCTTATTTTCCCTATTACATCATATAGAATATGGTCTATCATTCTGGACACTATTACATTTTTTTTCTTTATTGCCTGCGAACAGAATACTATCGATAGAAATATCGGTGTCCTCAAGTTAATTTCTTTCAAATTAAAAACTTTGATCAAATTTAGGAATTTATAAAAAATAATTATAAACATTGTATTTTTTTTCGAACGGTAGAATATAATCAATATATTCTGCATATGTATATGACACGTATGGAAATAGTGTGGACCGCATTATTAAAAATGAAAGTTTAAATATTATTAGAAAATTGTAAACGATATTTTCAAAGTCTCAAAGTGAATGTACACCGTGTTTACAGATTGGTGCTCGGCGGTTGCGGTCGGACAGTGGATTGAAACTAATTTTCTCTACGTCACAACGAAAGCCGACTGGGCAACACGACTATTGTGCTGATATTCTGTCAGATTTTCAAATGGACAAAATATACGGGAAAAGGAAATCACTATATCGCTTTGTAGAGTATGTCGTTAAATCGAGACGAGTTCTTCAAATTGAATCAATCACTTTTTATTTTTGCTATTTTAATTTAAGTATTTTGCTTAACCGTTTTTTATATAATCTTGCAAAAATAATTGGGTGGAATTACAATATGACGTATAAACTTGAATTATGATGTCCGACAATTGTCATACAGCTTACATGATCACAACACTGGTTTTAGAAGCCCTATGACATTTAATATTAGAAATGTTCTATTTCAATGTCATCAAAAAGATGTACAGGTGGTTCTGGTTTGGATTCCAGGTCACTGTGGCATTCAAGGTAATGAGAGTTTGAATTGAGACTCTTCAAATTATTATATATTTTACGTACAAGATTTATTACCTCTGGCTAATTCAATTCTCTCAAGGCCTGGAGAGAATCGAAACTTGTCACGGGTAAACATTATGCTTATATCCTTCTGGATGTAAGTAAGAACGACATCCCTGTTATACCTTGGTTTTTCTATCACCACTCAGTGAGTAAACGAATATCTTCTACTATTTGTCGCCTGCGCTTTGGCTATTCCTGTACACTAATACATCTTGCAATGTTGACGATCAGGGACAGTTCTATTTGGAAAGCGGGCTTGATGAGGGAAAATTTGACCATAAATTTTTTTCTTGTCCCAAACTCAAATTCTCTTTAAATGTCACGTTTATTACCTCCTCCCTTCTACTTTCCTCGTCCTATTAATATAGCATCTCTGTTATCATTAGTATTTACACGTTTTAAAATATTTTGTGTGATTTATACTTACTAACTAAAATTAAAAATCCTTAAAGTTATTTTTATGAAAATAATGTTTCCTCCCAGACTGACCTCAGAATTCGTTTTTGCGTAGCCAAAAAATAAGAAGAAGAAGAACAAAAATACCGAGTAGTGCTCGAGTAAGTTCTTCTTTCTTGTATTAATAATGCGGTCTAGGGATATTCGACTTTTAACATAAATCAGTTAAGTGCAAACTATACTTGCACAATCGGTGTTTCGTGCCAAAAATATAAAAATATAACTAAAATCGTACTCCTATCTTTATTCTAGAAATTTATAACTATTTAAACACTTTTGACAAGAATTATGGTAAAAAAGCAAAAAGAAAATAAGTAGAAAGCATTATGCTTTCAAATAAAAGGAATGGTATAAACTGTTTTGTCGAAATAAATAAATATATACAGAGTCTTATTAAATTTTTTTTTATAATTTTGTATCGAATCTCAATGAAAGAAGAAAAAAATATGTGTAAAATAAAATTAAACAAAAAGCTTAAAATGCCTTTGAATTTTTTTATTTGAAATAGTGGTTTAAAGGAATTTGACACGTTTTATTCGAAATTCGTCATTTTCCACGATTGTCTTCAACGCTTCTCATTTTTATCTCCTTAATATAAATAAGATAAATTTTAATCATATCAATCATAAAATAGTCGTGACATACACCAAGGTGGTTCTATAAATGTTTTTTTATCCAAATTTTGTCATGGAATAATATAGTTATTGGTAAAGCAAAACCTATTTAAAAATTTGACATAAATGATGATGTATTTATTGTAGTTTGATAGAATTATTGAATATTGGTAATTATTTCTAAAATGGGTTAAATTACCAACATGGCTTTCCTTACTGCTTTAATATATTATTTAATTCATACGGAGTTACAGTATATATATATTGAAGTTATTCAATTTCTTTCTTCTATATTTTGATGAGGGGGGGGGGACATCTTTCTTATAAAATAAATCAATAATCAGCCAGCCCCATCGTATCCTATCTAAGGGACTAAAACCTGAGAAAATGGAACTAAAAGCTCATAAAACATCCTTGCGACAACTGACAC